AACAAAGTTCAAGCTAATTTTGCTCTACAACATTTAATTATAAACTCAACAACAAAATGCCGAGTTCATTGTTGGATAAATTAGGAATCAACCACGGACAAAGGCAGTCACCAGTATTGATGTCGCTACTGCTTGTCGCAGTTACCACGCCATTAAAGGCACTACTTAATAACAATGGATGTAGTGATATAGAATTACAGATTATATGCCTCGATTCTTTTAACCCTCATAAAGCGGAACCACTCAGGGTCAATCAAAACTCAAGATTATCTAACGCAAACATATGTAGGTACATATAAATAACTAATTTATTATTACGTTTGCAGTATCTTTCCTGTTGTGTATGTGTGCTCAATAATCTTGATGATCTAAAATGAGCAACTTGATCCATGAAATGGCTCAAAAATAGTCAAAGTGATTTAGATTGGGTCGTAACATTGCGGAGATTAAAGATGTGGAAATCTTCTCGCTTAAACTCCCATTCGTGTCAGGGTCTCAACTATGCATGAAGCATATTGCACTCATTGTTGATTATCTCACCGAAAATAAAATGACCATCAACTCCTGAGATGTTTGGTTTGTAATGCAATCCACAACAACAGGTGAAACCATTATATTATTATTATTATCATTATTGTGAGTTTAGTTTGAGTAAGACAACTGTCAACTTTGATATGAAGTAATAAACCTCCATCCACAACTTGCACTCGTTTCTTATAGCCTGCTCTTTTTTAATCCATTACACAATCCTTTTATGCTGAGTGCCACACACATGCAAAAACAGGGTTTGACATAAATAAAGCATTTCTGCACGACATATGGTCATAAAGTGAATCAGAGAAGTATCTTTGACTGGAGTTGTAACGAATTTTAATTACAACATTAGCACCGTGTTTTGATTTTGATTACCCATTAAGAATCGAGCTAACTGTATTTACTTTATTAGCGTGTGTATGTGTGTAGCATGGGAGGCAGTGTATGTCACCCATATTTGGGAACTAATTGGAATGCAGATTAGATTATATTAAAAACCTAGTTTTGTATACAAATTCAAGGGCAGTTGGCGATTTAAGTTTTAACAGTTATCTCTCAACACAATGACAACTGACTCATTAAAAGAACATCAAATAGGTACTAGCACACATGAGTAGAGGCGCACATATATAGGAACTGAAGACCAGCCATGACAATTACCTCTGTCAACTGGCCTCAGTGATACAGTTTAATATTAAATTACCCTCGAGACAATAAAATACATGGACATGTTGGAGTCACACTTGCAATTACAATTTCTTCAAAGAAGGAGAGCAAAGGAGACAGCAAAATTGTCGATTCCCTCGAGGCACAAAGAGATTAAGTTTGGTTTGGTTTTGTTGGTTCGTTCGTTCGCTAGCCGCAAAAATCCACAAAATCTTGCGAAAACAAATCAAGTCAGTAAACTGACAACAACTTTGCAATCCCATTTCCATGTCCATCAACTGATCTTATATAAAATGCAGTCACATGCGGCCAGATTGTAATAACAGCTGAAGGTGACAAACGTTTTGAAGGAATAAGACAAAAAACTTGTACTTTTGTATATATTATTGTAATTCTTACTTAATGGTCTTATTTCTTATGCATGTGTGTGTGTGTGTATGTACCTACAATAGTCGCAAATGTTGTCATAAAAAAGGTGCACATTTTTCATTAAACTTTTGCCAGACAAGCCGATCTAGTTTGCATTGTTTTCAGCTATAAAAGGCTCAAAATTGTGTAAATTTGCATTTAAGGAAAATCGCATTTAACCTTAACAATTTCCCTAATTTATTTAATCTCGTTTTGGCATGGTCATTAGCAAATTATGTTCATCGTAATGACACTTAATGGGAATTAGAACATTCATTTATTTGCTTATAGTATGGTAGTGCTACACATAATAATTTGCAAATTTGCGCACAATTACCTACCTCCGACCTTCATTAAATTATACGTACTTACATAGTAGTAAGGGCATAAGTACATACATACATGACAGTGTTTATAGTTTCCACCAAAAATGTGCCTCCTGTCAACAGCTTAAGGAGGTCGTGCTTTTTTTATTAGCTGTAACCGTCGTGCCTCCTCTAATAATAGATATCCAAGAGTTATGCAATGATCAACTAGGGAAGAAAGTGATCATTAAATTAAATGTATCATTTCAATTCTTCTTCTGCGTCCAATCCTCATTGTCAGTGTCATAGAAAGAATATTGTTGGATCACGATTTGATCTAGATGAGTCTCCATTGATGCTGATGAAGGTGGAGAGAAGAAAAGAGGCGCAAGAAGAGATTCACTATTTATTTACCAGCAGCCGATGTAGAAAGGAAACCCACTGTCAAATATCAACATGCTTCATCATTGTTGTCTAGTCTTTGATGGTGTGACTGCTGGTTGTTACAAGGGCTGAAAGCAATACTGATCTATATATCCGTTTTTTATTCCACTCCTGTCAGACAGAGCATAGCATCCGGTACAAATATTGTGCAGGTGCAATCTAAACACGTGTATACACATCCAGCCTGCTTTGTCGTCGTCTCCTCTATTAAATAGTCCCATGCATAACCTTGTCTTACTTTTGTGCGCATAAGGAGATGCAGCATTTTTCTCAGCATTTGAATAAACTTGGGTTGGTGACATAATTCTAATAATACAAAAAATATGCATCGCTGTATGTCATCTCTGCTCGCCTTTTACTGTTCCTTGCGTTCATTCCCTGCAGTTATCCGTGAGTTGCATGAGATATGCCTGTCTTCGACTGCTGTTAACTACATACAGGCATCATCAAGAGTCTTTAAGATTCAATCTGTGTGGCAGTATGCACACAGTAATGCGCAATTGACTAACATATTATTATATGGTTTAAGCTGTTTTGCGTTTCAAAGGCGAAGGATTCGCTCCAATAATTTTTAATATTGCTCTCATTATTATGACATAATATTACTTTCACTCAAGCTCACCAAAATCACTCAGTTGGAGATGGTCTTGCATAATTCCTCCTTTATCCTCTCTGCTATCAACTATCAATACAAAGACCAACCAACCGCAGACAATTTCAATATCATTCACGCAGCAGCAGCAGCAACAGGTTGATGTTAAATATAGTGACGAAGGCTACTAAGTATGCATACATTTACACTTAAATAATTCAATACCCAAAATTAAATCAATGAATGACAAATTATTTTTGACATTGGAACAGTTCTCATACTTACGTGAAATTATATGGAAAACAATAAGAGATAATTTTTCTGCTTGATAATGCGTTTAAAAATCTCATGCATCTTTAGCAGTAGCGATCGTAGCGTTGTTGCGGGGTCGTTATATTTAAAAACTCAGACAACCTCAACAAATATCTAAATGGATACATAACAATAAACCAGACCATTTCAATTACTATGAGTTGTCGTCGTTTGGTGGTTTCTATCTAGTTTGGGTTTTTGGTGCGATGGTGTTGAGGTGACACAATGCTGGCAATTTGAATTACCTCATCAAGGTTTTGGGCAACTTTACTTTAGTTTGGTTAATTTGTCAATGTGGTGTGGTTTGGTTAAGATTGGTCTCGGCTGCTGAGTTCCTGACATCATTTATGGCCTTTAAATTTAAACTATTTTTCACAATTTCGCAATCATGACGTTGGTTATAAGCGTGGTTTATGTGCTAATTTTGTGAATCATCCAATTGTCATATTGCAAGTAAAGGCTACTCGCACACAGTTCGATCTTGTTTCATATATTGTTTCTTGGATTTATTTATTTTTTGGTCGCAAAAAGAAGAAGATTAATGATGATGCTCTAATACTGACAAATTGTGGAATATGATTTAGCACTTGGTCGCCAAAACAGAAGATTGGGGAAGGCTGAATTGTTTTTATGGGTTTATTCAAGGCAACTCCAACTCTTTGTTATAGATTATTATTAAATTACTTGAGCACAACATTGCCAGTTGGTCTTTTTCTGTTATGGATTATCATCATTATCACATTCACCCATTTCATTTTTTATGAATATGTACATGTAATGGAAATATTGAAAAAAAATCATCCCAGCTGCATACATATTAGTGGACATGTACTTATTGGTATTTAGACTACTAGGCACACGTTTTTTGTAATTAAGCAACTCTTTAAATCAAGTTCAAATCAATTCAGTTAAAACTAACGATATCAACCCATTGCCCAAGCCTCAAGAATTGAGGCATGCAGGTAATACATGCATAAACAAAAGTGTTGTTGTTTCATCTACTCACTCAGTCGGCACAATCTTACGCGAGCGACTTGCTGTTGCAGCCACAACAAGATGATGTGATGTGATAATATGCTTTTGGTTGTGATCTGTTAATACGAATGTACTTATGTGCACGTATGTGGTGACTGCAGCAACGTGTGTTGGGGGAACCTCAATCCATTCCACTGAAAATCAAGTCACTTTATTATTACCACCAACATCGCAGCTTCGCCACCAACTAAATAACTCCAAAGGTTGTTAGGTATCTCGTTTAATGTGATCTTGGAAGGTAGTCTTTCTTGTAAAATATGTAAAGAGGTATTAGGGAAATGTCATTGAGTTCCTCAGTCGTCACAATCCATTCGATGTGAACGGATTCGTTTTCACACTGAATCTCATCTGTCTTCGCATATTGCACTTACCATCAAATCATCTTAGTGATTTCTGTTAAGTCATCGAATCAAAAAGTTTCGCGTTCTCCAAGTGTGTTCAGTTTTGTGTGCCAGTGCATTGTTGCATATTCAGGGGGGATATGTACAACTGTGGTCCAGTGTTGTTTGTTTCGTGTACCACGTGCTAAAATTATTGTGATGCATATACGATAAGATCATGTTAGACCCCATTTGCTTATGAAATGGGTTACGAATCGGGAAATTGTCATTCCAATGACAATCCGAGTTTGTTGGTATGTTGTATGAAATTGGGCCATTAATTTTATTCAAATTTACTAATTGTTTTATTTTCTTTTATTGCAGATGAATCAGCTCTGTAAAGGTACATAATTTACTTTTAAAACCTTTAGTAGTGACAAAATTGAAGATTATAAAAAATAATATAATTCTTTCTTCTTTAAATTTAGTGTGTGGAGAACCGGCGGCTGGATTTCATTTTGGGTACGTTTTAATAAATTGACTAAAAAATCACTGGAACTGTCCTAATTTCGTTATTTTGTTTTACATGTGACTGTGCAGATGTTTCACTTGTGAAGGGTACTTAACTTATCCGTATTAAATATATTGAATTGTTACATCGAATTTTTTACTAATTGTACTTTTACTTTCTTTTGCCATTTTGGACCACTTGCAGTTGTAAGGTAAGACTCGATATTTTTCATACATTATTGCGATTTTGTAGGATGAATGCATACATTGAGCTCTGGCTGAATAATAAAATACCTGGGCATTAAAAGTAAAATCCCGAAAGCATTCCAAACATGTTGCATAAAGAAAGCATGAAAATAAGTCCAGGTGAAAACATGTGTATAGCTTGACTTTAATAGCATATGACTCATACAACAGCTTCATACTCTGGATTGTGGCTGTGCTCCGGGCGCACGAGCTTATTTTTAAATACTGCAATGTGTAGCATCACTTTATATTTTCCATCGTGTCTTGAAATTGACAAGAAAGTAGCATTAATGGAGGTTGACCAGTCGACTTTAAATAATACGCCATGCAAGAATTGAGCAAATAAATATTCATCAAAGTCCTGTAGTGGACAATGGGCATAATTTATTGGTTCTTTCAGTTTTCAAGTCCGCCTTGACAAAAAAGGAATTCGGATTTTGGTTTTCTGCCGTGAACTTAATTATACTTGCAAATTTAGTGAAATGAGCAAGATTTGTGTTCAATGTACCAGTTCATGTGTGTAATACTCGACTGTAGAGCCTTCAGTTCAGTTTAAGTTGGCTCATCAAACCATAAGCACTCCTCTCCTACCACGCACGGTTTTGCTGTTTAACAATGTGATGTTCTGCATACTTACGAAGGCGTGCTTCATGCTGGCGTGTAATTTTTGGAGCTACATATATGACATTTTTTAACTCATACCAGCACAATCCTCCGTATGATAACTACGTATTTATTGGTTATAGGAAAGAAATTGTTGATTTGTTTAGTTAATTTAAAATGTTTAATTTACATAGATACATCTGTCACATATCGTAATTGCTGTTTGGTTATCTATTACCAGGATTATAAAGTAGAATTCAATTTTGAGCAAGTGTGCATCGAGTTATTCATGTCGATACCTTCTCCTTTACATCTTTGACGCTCTCATCTAAATGACTGAGGGAATAATATATCTTGCACCGCCTTATGAGGTCAGATTTCAATATCCATGAATCATTTTGAGTGAGTTTTTCTTAAGCGCAAGCTCAAAGGGTACGCATGAATTAGATAAACGTCAAAGTCTAAGCTCGCTTTTAAAATTGACGGAAGTGGCGGAAAATCATGCAGAGTCGAAATTGAAATTGGAGTTGAGCCGTTGAATGAAATTATTTCTTGAGTAAATATGCTGTAATAGGTAATGAGGGCGTTACACCAAAACTAATTGAGTTGCTATTCCACAATTCTCATTCCTTGCATTATTTCGTGGGAAGAGAACCAGGTATATTGTTAGTTACATACTTACTTATTCATCTTGATCATCATCATCATTCTGCATATTCGGAACACGTATTTGGCTGCAGTTTTTGTGCCGTAGTAACCACCGACATTCGATTCATTCCCACAAACTGTCAATGATACCAAAAATGATTACATGTACATATGCACATATTTACATAGATATTCATTCATTTCACTTATTTTGTCTAAAACAATGAACTTTCGGCAGAAAAATAATCGGACCGCAATTGATGACTTTGAGTACATGTCTCACTGTGAAATAACAATGAGAAAATATAAACAGTTTTTTTTTCACCGACTCATTTGCGATGGCATACGTGGAAAGTGTCCTGGTAGGGACACATAGTCGATTCAAATTGCATTAAAAAATATATCGTCCATTTCGCTGTTATTAATAATGTCATTGTCATTCACTGGAATTTACAGTTGTTTCATCTTTTGTCAATCAATTTCAATTTGCATAACACATTGTCGGCACTTGCATAAATACCTCAAAACGCATAAAAAATATCTATATGTCATACTTATTATATTACATTTTTTGTAGTCATTCTTTGGTCGGACATACAACAATGTCAGCGGGATAGCAGAATGCAAGAATGGAGGACGATGTGAAATTAACAAGAAAAATAGAACATCTTGCAAATCTTGCCGTCTTCGCAAGTGCTTGAGAATGGGAATGTCAAAATCCGGTTCCAGATACGGACGGAGATCAAATTGGTTCAAAATCCACTGCCTTCTTCAAGCGCAAGGGCAGCAAAATGGGATGTCTGGTCCAGAAACAAATAACAACAGTTCCTCAACCACCAACAATAACAATTCCTCACCAAATTACCAAAGCAGTTTTGGGAAGAACCCACTTCCTTCAACCGTCACATCCTACGGCAGCGGCGGGGACTTGCGAGATCGAGATCGAGGTGAGCGAGAACGAGAACGAACTCCTTCCAGCACTCCAAGAAACGGGTTGAATGGACTTCCTCCTTCCGGATTCACCAGTATTTCAAGTCTCAGTCCGGAATCTCTTTCGTCCCTCAATCGAAAGCTAAACGGGTCCGGCCCAGAGCTTGCAGACTATTTCCGAGCCGCCGGAATGAGTGGTATGGGGAAACCCATGACTGGTGTTGGAGGAGGTGGAGGCGCAAACAATACTAGCAGTAAAGGCATCACGTATTCCGAAGAAGGTGAAGATATGTCACGAACCACACGAAGTCCTGGATCCCTAGAGGTAGGTTTTTATGTCTTATTACCCCGGAATGACATAGACTACAGCACTTGTCAACCATATCATTAACCAAACGACAATTTTCCTTACAGTCACCCAGATCCGACGCATCAATGGATGATGGCAAAAGTTCCACCCCGTTGTTCAGTTTGCCCCCAGGATCCCCTCTTGAGATGAAACCTACTGACCTTCTCTCGTTCGACTTGATCACTCGAGACTTGATGAAAATGGGTTACGATCCACTGCGCCTGTGGCCTGCAATGTTTTCAGGTCAACCCAATTTGCAGAATCTCCATTCATTCAACCCTTACCGATTTATGTTCCCCAACTTTCCTGGTGCTGCAGCAGCGGCTGCTGCTTTTCCTAGTGGATATCCTCCTCCTCCAAACCCCGGTGTTCCACCCCACCTTCTAAATAACGGAGCTGTGCATCCCTCCGCCGCCGCAGCAGCAGCAGCAGCCAAGTTATTTTCGACGGCCAGTTTAGTAGAAGGGGGAATTCCGTCTCCTTTAGCCAATCATCCAAATAATTTAAGTGTTGCAAATCTTCATCAGCATCACAACCACCACCAAAATCATCACGCTTCTCGGAGTCATTCCCACTCTCCCACGAGCAGTCGAGCAAGTCCTCCAGTTCCAAGTTCTCTTCGAAATAGTCGAGTGACATTACCAATAGTGCCTCCTTCCTCCAGTCTCACGCTTACGCCACCGATTTCTCATCATGGATCAGATGACCCCAGCAGCCTTTTCCCATTACAAAAGTTGAGAACCATCCCACTACAAGAAAAACCAATTGATCTTTCTGCAAAGAGCACGAACAATAACCACGTCGATGTTGAGTATGCGGGGAAAATGTTTCCTAGTGCAAACGGTGATATTTCCGATGACGACGATGACAATATGTGTGACAATAATAACTCTGATAATGAGCGGGATGACGACTCGGATGTTGACATGAAAAATGTTAAATCCGAATATGAAGACTCGGATCATGAGGAGGAGGACGCTGTCCAAGATTTAAGCAGTTCCTCAAATAACAATAATGTTACAAAAAGTGCGACACTGCGGCGTTCGTCTTCGTACTGCAGTAGTCGAGGAAGAAGCCCTTCCAGTCCTAAGCGAGCAAGTACTCCCTTGGACCTCACTCGTGGATCCGGAAATTCCAATTCCAGTCCTCCGTTAACAAAAGTAGCCACGTAAATCCATAAATAATACTTTAATTCATCCAGTCATTCTTTCCAAACCAAAACTTTGCTCTCATTCAACCAAATGTAATGTTACAGTCCTCATTGTTTTACAGTTTTTGTTGTTGATTGTTGTGTATTAGATATGTACATATGAAGGCCAGTTTTATATACCTCTCTCTTCGTGTCAGTCCTGTTACTGTTGCAAAAATAGGAATAATAATCTAAATAATTTATATACAAATGAAGAAAAGGAGAGGCATCTTAATAGGAAGGTGGTTGGTGGCTGGTCTCATTTTCCCCCCAGGCCCGTTAGACTCGTCTCAATATGCATACACACGATTGATGTATGTACTTATGTACTCATATCTTATGATTAAGGGTTCAAGCCAAAAAAGTTTTCAGCATCCTGGTGATCCCTCTGAAAGAATATAACTTTTTAGAGTATTTTAATGCCGCATTTATATCACGTTATATAATTCACGTCCAATCCGTGATGCTGTTTTGCGGCAGTTGAAGAATATTCATGTTGTAATCTCTTAAGTTAATTTTAAGTAGTCAGTAATAAGCTATTTAATTAAACAAATCCTTATTTAACGCGGCCGAAATTGCAATATTGTGTACATAAAATGTCTGTACGTCAGACAAAGCCTTGTTTATATATCATTTACACTAACTATACATACATAATTCCCTCCACTCCATTTAAAATCATATATTTTTGTGAAAAGCAAAACCTTTTGGTGATTGTAATTTGTGTCTAAATTAAAACTTTTTCATCACTTCAACGCACACCAGCCCCACTTTTCGATTTGTCGTTGTCGTCGTCGACGTCGTTGTAAGCTATTCAACACTGTCCGTCCGCTACTTAATAAATATGTACTTGCGATGATTTCATAGTTACAAATCTCCCATATATAGCCAGCACTATCGTCACTTGTAGTTAATGTAAAACGAATAATATCGTGTGATTTCTCCAAATCACGTCATTTGTACATAATTTTGTAAGTATTACAGTCCGACGGCAATTTTGTAGTTTTACATTTAAACACAAACTAGTAGTAATACAATCTGCAGTGCATTATTACCAATTACTTTGAAATTAAATTCTATATAAATACAATAAATTAAAAGTGTGTAAGCAATAATTGAATCACTGAATGGCAACGGTTGTGAAAAAGTGAATTATTTATGTATTGTAAGCAAGTTTAGCAACAATTTTTTTCAAGATTTCTCTTTAATTTAGAAAAAATTATCAATTGCAATCTGTTCCTTATAATAACAGTAGTAGTTGTGATTTGATAGGAAGATTGTAAACCTGAGCGACAAAAATTTGTACCTAAACTCTTTTTTATTTATTATAATTTGGCTGTGTGCTTTACAATTTTCTTCTTCTCGTTGCAATAAGTTGTATTATTTTCTGTTCTGGTCTTCTCAATCGGTGAAGTAATGTAGGAGCAAAAAAAGTGGAAAAAAACAGAAAGGAAACCTTGGTTCATCAAAACCATCCAAAAGAAGTATAAATATGTGTAACTTGCCTTTCTTCACCCAATAAGATGTCATTTTAATAGCGTTTCTTCACTATATGCACCTTTATTCTAAATGTTGTTACTTGTGGATGGCGATGACGGAGAGCTGAAAGAAGGTTATACAGTGTGTGCAGTACGTTGGTCGTGTATGCCATGAGTTGTGTTTCGCCATTTGAATGAGAAAATGAAATAAAGCCGTTCGTGGTTCTAAAAGTAATCGTCTAATCGTCTTCCCACGATTTTTGTCATCCATCTAAGTTTTTATTATTGTGCATCCAGCATCCTCTTTTCATTCACAGAATCGAGGTTGAACTCTTCAGTAGTTGCCGCAGATTCACAACATATCATCATCATGACCAACTTTCGGACAAGTTGTTTTGTCGACAAAATACACCTCGTAATCTGTACCTTATGTAGCGTCAAGGGGGAAATTACAAAACGAAATCTAGTGAAACGTCATAAAAAATGTTTATAATACATGTTCGACAATTATGTCACTCAATCCTCATACGCTTTTATGCTTACCCGAATTTAATTAAAGGGTAATTTTTAATTGTCACTAATCATAGTAAAAATTCCAAGTGTCACTGTGCCCCATTATATAATACTCACTTTTGCTTCCGACAGATTTAGTGCATCCCATAAAGATGAATAAAGAAGATGTGGTAATACATGATTGCATTCCAGAAGAACGATATCATGACATAATTTTATCTTCTTACAAGTATTGCAGAAGTAAATGCATATTTTGAACCTAATTCATTTCTAATCATAGAAATTCTCCGTTTACTGACGACATTGCTGAGTTCTAAGTATTGCTGCTTCTTCAAACTACCATCCCTATAATCTTAATTGCTTATAGAAAGAGACGTACCTAAAAACATACGTCTGTGCATACCTACATATTACCTGTGGAGCTGAGAATTGTGATCCATTGAGCATTTATTATTTCCATCCTTGCCGATATCGCTGTGAGAGACGTTGAGCGATGCGATGAGCCATGCAGTTTTGTACATAGTGCAAAAAAACACCATTATTTATTTTTATACTCTCATTATCATTGAAAACCTTATTTGGCTCCTTCGGTAAATTTACTTTTATTTCAACTCATCTTACTCTTGTCTGCTGCTGCTGCTTGCGTACTGCACAAAGCCCTCTTCGATCCACTGATGCACATTATTCAAGTAAGACGATGATGACGAATTAACGAGGATGCGATCTTCGTCGTCGTCGTCCTCTGCCTGCGCTGAATGACTCCTATAATGAGCCGTTGTTGTTGGGCTGCTCGCAATAAATGATGATTGAAGATGGATGCGATGATCCTATGAAGAAAAAAACTCGAGGAAAGGAATTCGACCACGAACGAAAGCGAAGGTACAAAATAAAGTGTGTATATAGAGAAGTAATAAGTGTCATTATTAGTTTGAACCAATTGAATTATAGAAACGCTTATTTTTATTTTTAGTGCGTGATCCACCACACAGATAACTAATTTTGCAGAGTCACCTCTGATTATTTATGTGTGGAATCATCAGCAGCAGCATTATATCGTCCTCCATAATAATAATTTGAAGATTGCATATTATGATTTCTTAGAGTGAGTGATAAGAGCTCCACTTTTCCAAAGGTGCAAATTCAAGTCCAATTTGCTTCATAACCTAGTATTAAGTTATCCGTATCTACATGAATCTCAGCACTATGGTCACTCGACTCGTCCTCTATGCGATCCAATTGTGTTTGATTTATTGTGTCCTGACCGGTAGTTGGCTAAAATTAACAATTGCTATCCTCAAGGTTGTGCAGTTTTCAATCGATTGCAAATTGGAGTTGGACATGTGTACTAACCAAGACAACATATAAATACAGACATATTTTTAGAGCTATCTATGTAGCTAGATTATTATTTACGGGAAATGGATTGGATTCAATTGTTGGAAAATGTATTGATTGGATCAACCATGGACTTGATTATCTTATTTTACTACAGTTGAGGGGACCCCACGCGCTATACATTAATTGTGTCATTGGGACATTGATTTTTAAACAAAAATCGTGTAACACAGTGGAAAATGATTTTTGTAACGTCACGTTGATTATTATTATTATTACGTCCTCGTTAACAAAGTGTGAAAATGAAGGCATTCTAGTGGTTTAATAATAAAAAAGAATTCAAGACTGTACATATTTGTTGGCATAATAATACTCCTCGCAAGAGCACGTGTCGTCATAAAGCGACGAAGTGAGACTGAGTTTTATTCTAAAATGATATAATTTTAATGGTTAAGTCCTACCACCCACCACACCATAAAGATTTGCTCTATACACACAGCCAGCTTAATTGCAGTCCAGCATAATGTCGTTATCATTATGCCACTCACGTAATCATCATAATAACACCGTTCATTTAGTTTAATTCGAGTGCAAACTCTCGATTATTGTTGTCTGCACTGATTGTTGACGTTGATGGATCCAGAGTGAGTCACATCTCGAAATGTGGGGTAAGAGAAATGTGCTTTTTTATGTTGCAGTAATTTGTAAATATGATTTGTTTGTATGACAGCCCTTAATGAAAATATTAATGACTCGTTTTTATCGTGGAACGAGACGAGACCAGACCTAGCTCACTCGCTCAATGCAACGCGGACTTCACGGATCAAGAGTGTAAAAAATGAGAGTGCACACTTCACTCTTTCTTCCTTGTGTATAGGCCAAGGTTCTCCTCGCTTCAGAGAGATCCAGATCAGGTGCAACAGCCATGCACGCACAAAAACTGCCCATTGTTACACTCTAATGTAATAAATAAGGAGTGAAAAAATACTATATCACAACACTCGCTTACAACATCCAGAGACTCGACTGACTCAGTTTTTGCTGTAATTCAAACATCTCTTAACCACACAAATACTACTTGCTCGTGGCACCGAGCAACATTTGTTGAGACAAAAGGTTGAGCATGCACGCTACACACTTGAACTTTTATGCCACACAATAATGCGATCAAATGAGATGTCAACCATAACTTTGTTGTTGATCTTGTGTACACAGTCGTGGTATTTGCTTATGAGGGGAAGCAGGGAAGAAGGAGATTTAGATTGATTCTGGTTATGGGTGATTTCGCGCAAACGTGTAGATCAGGGACACTACATACGTACAAATATCCGTAAAGGTTGATCTGACAGGATCTATAATATGAATGTGTAGCTTTTAAGATTTGACATTCAATTCTGCACAAGGTCCTCAACACTTCTTAATGACCCAACTTTTAATTTGTTCCTTTAATGTTTGTTTTTATCCGTGCAAGTCACCGTGCATCCGCTGACACAATTATTTTAATAATTATTTGGATATATTGAGCCAAGGTTTTAGTTTCATTGTTGATCTTTATGTAAGCCAAATTATATTCAAACACAATACTTCTTCTTTCAACCCTATAAAATGCGCATAATTGTAATATTGCATCCTAAATAAATTGACATAATTGCACAACATCCTCCTTGTGGATGTATGTATCTAAAGAATCTGAGGTCACAAAATGTGCGCTTGATCCAATAATTAAATGTAAAGGAGGATGATTCTCTTAATTTAAAGCTAAGCTATTTTTCACTATAATTCAATGCACTACAACAATACACCAAGACTATTTGATTTTAGAAAGATGCCGGTGTATTGATTCCTAATGTATAATTAATGTCAAATAAGTATAATGAACGTTGCCATTAATTTACATAGTTTACGAACATAATGCATCAAAGCTACATCGCAATTGAACTAATTCAAGCCCGACCTGACAATTAGTCAATCAAGAATATACACTTGAATAAAATATCGGTTTGCAATAAATCTGTTCGAAACAAGGTGATCAATAAAGTGCAGACTTAAAATTAGTGGCAAATAATGCTTACCATATGACATTGGATAAAATATCGTCTCAAAGACAAAATTTTGGGAAACACAAAATGAGAAAAATGTTTTGCAAAAGTAAATCCTCTTAGCAAATTAACGTCTTGATCTTTACTGATAATGATAATAGCATCATTCTGTCAGTCTTGAAAAACCTTTATTTGGGTCAATGTGATTCAAGATGAGATAATTAGCTTCCCTAATTGTGACCACATATGAGATGCCAAATGTACAGTAATTCCTAAAATAATTCAATCTTTCTACTATTTTAAATATTTTTTAATCTCTGATGAATAAGTGTTTAATTTTTGATGTTATAACAAATACTTGGCAATATATGGCCAGACTTTATGCATAAAATTTTGTACCCATGTGGCCAACTTTACGAACCTTATGTAGAGAAATATTCAGATCGACATAAAAATTGTGTCTGCAAATTTTTTGAAAATGTATGCCCACATGCATAACCCAAGTGGTATCATCAACTGGATTTTTCTATGGTGGCGGCATAGCCTTTAATCTAATAACTGTTTAATAACAATGAGCAATATCTGCGGAGAATGATAAAAATTAAGTATCTTGGGGTCGGAGAGTACATAATTGTCAATTTGGCATAAAAGTTCCACAAAGTTAAGTCACAGGATGTACGCTCTGTAAGATCTGAATGAACCAATTGCATCGAATGTACATTAAGCACAACTGAGAGCACCTTGAATCAAACACGATTAGGATATCTTCCTCGCCATTAAATCCGTATATGTACGAGTGCTCAAAAATAATTTATTTCATTGTTGTGCCAAATTGAGATTTTTGTAGTAATAGATATAACTTTATCACTTCAAGCTGAATTAGCGATGATTTGAAAATTTACTCTTAAATCAATCACAATCCACCTATAAACTTGGTGGAAGCAAACTAACTGCATACTACAATTTGCGATATATGTACTTACATGCGAATAAATCGCTGTGATGAAAAAGGTGAGCCGATCTGGCAGAGCACATATGCATGTACATACGCACAACACAATAAAGGTGGGGAATCTGGTTTTACTCATTTTTAACAAATTTTTAGAGTTGACAATATCAGAGGGAGACACATGATAACATAACAACAAAGGGTTCGATTTGCTAATTGATTGCATGCAACAACACCTGAAAATTAAATGAGTTGTGATTCCACTCGCCGAATGCATGTGAATTATTTTCAAGTTTTGCTGGTTGGACGCATACATTGAGCTCAGGTATGCAAAATTTATTCAAATTATGAGAAGGTATGTACGTATGTAGGTAGGTTGGTAGGTAGGCTCGCATGTTT